CATTTAGGAGTAGTTGCTAGATAAAACATCATTTTAATCGGCATTCCAAACTAAGGACTAATTGTAGTAGATTAGAATTTGACTAAGGACCTCTTACCTCGCTTTCCTGTGAGATCGATAAACGGGACTCCACTAGAGCTCTGTATTACTTGAGCGATATATATACTTGCGTTTGAAATTGTGACTTTACAAAATCATTATAAATATATAAATCTGTGTTCATAAATTTAAGCATATATAACGTCGTTGTCAATCATTCTCGAACATGTATGTTGATTAGGCATTCTCTCTGGCATCTTGGAGCTCAATCGAAGATGCAAAAAGTCATACAATTGAGACACCTCCCCCAATGACAGAGTCAATCTTTCCGTTGCAACACCCAACCAGAAAGGCAGAGATTAGAAAGTACAGCGCCAAAGCAAACCCACAACCATTATATGTAGAATAATGGAGGGAGTGGAGCTGTAACACAAAAGCATACATCAATTTTGAGAATGTGCAATCGCACCAACTCATAATTCAAAAAAGAAAAATTAAATTACATTCCAAAATATATGAATTAAACTCAGAAACTATTCCAAGAGTAAAAGCTTTACAAGTGGTCCATCTATTGCTTCAACTAATAAAAGCACTTGTTGAAGCAACCTCTCATATAAAACCTCTCCCCTCAAATTTAAACATATCAAGTCGGTCTTTGGATTGAGAGCATAGAGGATGTCACTCGAACGTCTACTAGCTCTAGTTGAAGGGCTATCAGCTCCTCCCACAGCCCATGTATTTCTTTCTCTTGTTAGATCTCAACTGCTTTAGCGAAGGAACCAACGATCTCGTCCAAGCAATGAGCCAATATTTTTAGAGACATTCGATGCCCATCGATCACTTACCTTAGGGTCTCATGAGGACTAGCTAGGAGGTTGACCACACCCTCCTCACTCCCAGCTAGCACTGGGCTATCACAACTGGTGTCGAGGTGGACCCTGACTAGCATCTCTCGAGGTAAATCATAAACTGATATCTCTTCGATTGCACCAAAAGTTAATATAAGAAAACAAGGAGAAAATTTGAGCCGAACCAACAAGACTATATCTCCTCGTACTATGGAGCCAATACAGCTCATGCCATGTAATCGAGACATCATTCTCATCAGATGGTGGTGGAGCGCTTGTAAATCTTTGCATTTCGGGCAGTGGCGGAGCACTCACAGTTTTTTGTGTCTAGAGCTGTCAAAATGGTTTGTTGTTCCTGAACAGCTCATTAAGAAGCTCATGTTTGACTTGTTCGCTAAGTTAATGAGCTAAACACGAACAAAAATTTGTTCGTTTGTGTTCCGCTCGTTTTGGCTCTAAATATTACTCATCAATTAAATAGATATATATATATATATATGTATATATATGTA